TTGGGATATTTACATAGGATTTCAAGGTCGACGAACTCTAATTAAACACCATAATTTATGTTACTGCCCCCCTCTCACAATCCCAGGGGTGCCGTCTTTGAAACTGTGCTCATACCCTCATTCGCAAGCTAGTGAGACCAAATATGACACGCATGCTCAGATACCAAGAGCAGGTGTCCTAAAAAAGGATTGTTTACTGGTACGGACCTCCCCTTGCAGTATCTATAGAAATAATTAGGGATATGGGGGAGCTTGATCAGTACCTTGGAGCATCTGTAAATCATGAGAGGGTCTTTTAACCCCACAGCTGCGCGCAGATATTTTGTGCCAGTACGCGTAAAGGCTCGTGTGTAGTCAGTATGTGTTAACTTTAACAGACTTCTTTTTTGTTGTTGTTGTTGTTTTATATATATACACACACACACACGAATATACTACTAAATTAAGACTACTAGTTTACAAATGGATTATACAATAACGAAGAGATGGTTCTAGATAATTACTATAGGTTTGTTCCCCCTTTTCTAAGTTACTTCCTAGCTTTACTGCTGTTCTCTCATCACCTCCACTTCTTCTATATAATTCATCTACTGTTGCTAAACGGATACTTCTCAGAAACCATTTATGTCATTATTTGACAGATACTTTTAAGAACTCACTTACTGACATTGTTAGGTGGATACCCATCAAAAAGTACTTGTGTCATTGACACTACTAGAAAAATGTCGATCATGTCTTTTCATTGCTAAACAAATATCTTTTAAAAAACATTTATATTATTGTCATCGTTAGACAGATACCCATCAAAGATGAATTGGATGATTATCTTAACTAGACAAAAACCATTTAAAGTAGGATTTTCTGAATAAATAGAAATTGAAATCTGATGGAATTCGACTCTGCTTCTTATAACGGAGAAAATGTTTTAACCAACTCACCTATAGTTACCGCGTCTCACGTGCCATGATTTTCAGTTTTAATACTTCAGTTGTTGGTTGTAGTATGCATTTCGTGACTAGACAGGTACCAGGTAAATGTCAGATATAATCATTTGTAGACAGATGTATATTAAAGTTAGTTGTGTTATTATCGTTAATAAATCAGGCCCGTACGCAGAATATTTGAAAGGGGTGGGGAGGGGTTCTAATTTGTGAGATCAAAAGCCAACACATATTGTGCGAAACACAATCAGCATGCAAAGCATACTAATGCTACGGGGGTCTGTGGGAATGTGACTATTTCAAACCCAAAATTGCTAATGCTTCATCAGAAGAATGTATAAAACGTTAAATACCATAAGCAGCTGAGTTATAACTATATAAGCATAATTTTCTTACATAACAAAAATAGGTGGTTCTCCCGAACCCCCCTGCTTACGTGCGTGTAAAAAAAATCAAAGATGAATGAGAGAGCGTTATTATCTAGAAGAGGTTAGATGTATTTGAAATACCTGGCAAACCAACAAACTTTGTTCTTTGGTGAATGGAATAACAAAATTTAAAATGACTATTTCAATTCATTTTTGAAGAATTAGGACTGGTCTCTATCAACAAAGAATGAAGAGAACTAACGAAAGATCTAAGTGTACTGGTGGATTACATTCAGGTATTTCTAAAATAACATTAGTTTCTACGTTAGCATTAATAATTATGGTAATGATATTAGGTGATGAAGAACAGAATCCTGGACCTCCAAAAAAAAGTCAACAAAGAAATATAGAACAAAAGGGAGTAAGTAGGCCTCAAATTAACTCCTTGAATAGTTAAACACCTGAACGAATGGGTATGGAAATTAACGCACTTGACATTAATAGAGAAACGGGAAATTTAAGTGAAGCTGGCATATGTGAAGATCAAAGCTTTGTTTCTATAATACAGAAATTAGAAAAATATAAATGGAAGCATTAATGAAGTAAAAGAGAAATAAAAAAAATTAAGTGGTTTGTTTTGAATTTCGCGCAAAGCTACACGAGGGCTATCTGCGCTAGCCGCCCCTAATTTACCAGTGAAAGAATAGAGGGAAGGCAGCTAGTCATCACCACCCACCGCCAACTCTTGGGCTATGCTTTTACCAAAGATTGACCATCACAAACATCTTTGGTGGGATGGGTGATTCGAACCCGCCACCCTCAGATTGCGAGTCAAGTGCCCTAACCACTTGGCCATGCCAGTGAAAGTGGAAAATTTTCGGAATATTGAACGTGAAATGAACATTGGGCAGAAGGAAAATTAATTACCTAAAAAATATGCTAATTAGACTAGAAGACGAAAATAGAAGAAATGATCTGATATTCTGGAGAATGAATGAAGAATGAAAAGAATATAGTTATGAAGACAGAAGAAAAGGTACTAATCAATGAAGTGAAATTAAAATTGGAAGACGCTGACATAATACAAATTGAACAAGCACATAAAACTGGTTAAAAATGAGATCACAAATCACTGCGAAGTCTCTAAGACTTGATAGACAAAAACTTTTAAAAAGAAGGCGGATAATTAAAGGAAAATAGTGAACTGCTGGAAATGGAAGTTTACGAAGACTACTGTTATGAGAATAAACAGGAAAGAAAAATGTTGAGAGAGAAAATGAGTGAATTTTGAAACGAAGGCAGCTTGGCCTTTTTAAATTATGATAAAGTTATTGTTAAAGAAAATAAGGTGAAAATCAGTATATATATATATGTATATATATATATACATAGCGGAAAATATACAAATAGTGTTACTTAATGATGGAGATATATATATATATATATCAATTTAGCTAGAAAATTGTTCATGGCCCAGAGGTTTCGTATAATTTTTATTTCGTGGAACATTAAAGGACTGAATAGACATTATAATTATCAATTACATAGGCCTGCGAATTTAAACTTTAGAAAAGTTGTTTTGGTTTTAATAACAGGTTTTCCATAATTCATGTACGTAGATTTCGCAAATAATATTTTTTTTTCTATCACGTAAGGATTTTTTACAAATCGGGAAGAAACAAAAACTCTTATTTGGATCAAATTATTATTTCGTTTACCACAATGAACATTTTTTATTATTGTGTTTGTAAACAAAAATACAAACAAACTGAAGAAAATGGAAGAACATCGATGTCAAACGAATATGCATCCTCATTCATACTGATTTTTTTAAGTCTACGTCTTTTTGTCTCAAAACTACGTGTTGTGGTCTTTCTTTTATGTGTTGTGAAAAATCTGTACGTGATGGAGAAAAATGGATATTATTTTCGAATTCAGTGTACAGGAATTACCGTAGAACATGTAAAAATTTCAAGACAATAAAACCATCGCAGGCAGGCCTGTGTAATCATGTTGTACAACAGCATACATCAGGCCAACTTCTGTTATCTGTTATTGAATTTTACGACGAAATATCATATAGTTAGAAGAAAGGAAGACAACTAGTTACCAGCATGTACCGCATTCACTTAACCGAACAGCGAGATTGACTGTGACTCTTATAACGCAGTCACAGTTAAAAACGAGATAATTAGACTTCCAGTTCGATACGTGAATCATTAGGCTATGCTAGGTTCTAGTATGTCAAAAAGAAAGAGCTTGCATACTAGAAGTTAATGCTTATAATAGTTTCAGAAACTAACGTGCTATATCATTATCAATACTACTATTCTTACCTCTATGATTTCATCAAAAATTGTCTTTCTATATGCAGTTGTCCATTTTTCTGTAGCAGATTTTCTATTGCTTTAGATGGGTACGTAAAAAGCTAGAAATCCTTTTAATAGTTGTTTCTTTAAATGGTGATATTAAATACAAGGTGCGTGACAGTTCACGCAGAAGACAGAAGTTAATCTACGATAGTACATGAAGTAAACCAAAAGTGTTCATACGTTGTGTAAGGTATACTTTCTTTGAAGTTTTTTTCATTAACATAATCGTTTAGAATGTATGTCTATTTTTTATTTTCAGTATTTTATTTTATTTTATTTTATTAAAGCACAAAGCTACACATTGGACTATCTGTGCTCTGCCCACCACGTGTATCGGAACCCGGTCTCTAGCGTTGTAAGTCATTGTTGACATATGAGATATTAGTTTAGTTTAGAATTTAAGAAAACAACAACAAATATTTATCACTCTATGTATTATTGCTTTAAATTGAACTGTTTATGTAGTTTCGATACTATTGAAAAAAAAGTTCAAAAGGAGAATCTTTTGCATAATTCAACATTAGGTTAAATTCGAGTTCAAGTTTATGTTGTATATATTATTTTTCATATTTCAGGCCAAGACCGTATATCGTTCAACATGAGGAGTGAAGATAACTATGAAATTTTACATTTGATTTTTCAATGTTTTGTTATTTTTTGTCGTTTGTGTTGGAGCATATAGACATTATTTGTATCGAACTGCGTCAGATTGATTTAGTTGTGTATACATCTTCAAATCGACTATACGTATATAGAGTTATCTGGATATCCATATCTTTATCTTCCTCCGTTTTTCTACATAGTCATCTACGTATAAAACGTTTTCTAGCTACATGTACAAATATATTTATCTAATTATTTAGCTGTTTGTACATATATATTTATCTAATTATTTAGCTGTTTGTACATATATAATTATCTAATTATTTAGCTGCTTGTACATATATAATTATCTAATTATTTAGCCTGGACTTATATATTTTCTACTTAATTAGCTATTTGTATATACATATTTATTTATTTAGCTATCTGTATACACATATTTATTTGTTTAGCTATCTGTATATACATATTTATTTGTTTAGCTATCTGTATACACATATTTATTTGTTTAGCTATCTGAGCACACAATTCTCTATCATTCTAACAATTTACCTTTCTATAAATGAAACATTAACATATTTTGTTACTATATATATTTAGGGCTTATTTCCTACCGTATAATGTGTCTTTTTCTTCTATAATCACACTTTACTATTTAGACAATATTTTACAGTTGGTTTCAAGGGTTTTATGTTTTCCTTTGCACTTTAACACAGGGTTGTGAGCTTTCCAGAATAACAATCACCTGAAGCATCATAAGAACATGAACGGAAAAAGTTCAAGAAATAGACCCTTCCGGATAGTACATAAATGAGAAGATGCACGTGAGTGAAGATGATTGATATCTTAAGTTCAGTCAGTTTCAGTTTTGACTGCAAAAAAGCGTGATAAATGAAACCTGCCTAATCATTGGACGTTTTCTTTTTTTAAGTTCTTTCAAGTGTTCGTTAAATCTTAATAGTATCATGTCGTTGCTAAATGAAATGTGGTGAAATAATTTATAAAGTGAAAACGTCAAAACTGTTGCTTGCAATGAAGTTATTGAAAAGTAATAATCAAGATTAATTGTCATGAGATACCTCTAACGACAAAATATGTTACTTGAAGGGTTATATATTGAAAAGGGCATAATATATTTATCTTATTTTTACTGACAGACCTGACTCGAAACAGACTTGACTATCTTTCTTTTCTATCTACTTATTTGCTTACCTATCGATTAAGGTGTTTCTTATATGCATAAAGTACACGTCAAGTGGAATTTGTTTTAGTAATCTTAACGCTATTAATTACGTAATTGTTTTCTCGCTGTCCGTTTAGAAGTTATCAATCACTACATTTCGCATGTATTGCAAAACTGACGGGCACAGGCATTCTGCACTTTCAAAAAGGTTATTACGGACTTTTGATACCGATGCGGTAGCTAACATTCATCTGGCTCAGTGATACTGACTACAGATCTGAATTAAACAATATTATAAAGAACAGAAACAAGTGACAAAACACCAACACTCGTCGTTACAAGGACAGACGAAAAGAGATTCTCATATTGCAAATAACGGATTGAGGATTCCTCAACATTGCCCATTCACACATTTTCATAAAATCTAAATGCTACGTATACTACACTTTACATTCTTGCATAACTAACGTGTTGATATCTATAGTTTTTATAATTTTTTGTATCTTAACTACATATATTGCCTGTGGAACTACTACTTCCACAGTTGATCAAGATGAGTCTAATGGTCATGGTGACATACTATTGCCCAATATCGCAATTTCTATTGTAACAAGCTTATGCGATGAACAACGATATCAATTTTAGATCACACAACTTTTTTCAAGTTTCCAAATACCCCTCTATTGTATGTAGTTCTCGGCTTCCTAGACATGTTTAAGCAGACCAAAGGCATTAGAGGACTTGACAGGTATATGGTCGAAAGAATTGCAGTGATTTCTGTTTCTTCGGTTTTCTTTCTCACGAAGACAGCCGTTCTTTGAAGCTTGAGGACCTTTGGTAACTTCAAATCCATGGATATTTGTTAATGGTACCAAAAGTTATGCTAAGCTTCATCATAATGTCCTTTTATATTGGATTGTTTTATATCATAAATATGTATTCACTTTGCTCCAAATTATCTTGGTGTGTGATTTCGGAGCTTGTAACTGCCTAAATGCTCTGCTATGAAAATCTGTCCACATCCACGGAGAACAATTAGAACTCTCCTGTTCCAAATGTTGTGATTTTTTTATGAGCAGTCTCCTTCTATGGATATTTCATAAACATTAACTCAGAAAACAAAAAATCTCATTATAAGTGAATTCCATTAGAAATAATTAGACCCGGAAGGGCCAAGGTTCGCGCTGTTAAACATGATTCGTATTGTTACCTGTAAATGCGTTATAAGAGAGACAGTTAATTCCATTATATAGTTCAAAATCGGACAGAGTCTTGTGATGGCATTTGCAATTGGCTGCCATCCCTGCCTCTTTTCAGTAGTTAAAATTAAGGACAGCGGTATTTAATTAGAACACTGTTTCTATAAGTATACTTTAGTTATGGTAAAAGTATTCTTATAATCTTGTAATTGTATTAGCGTAGTCTTTCCTTAAAATAAAAATATTATAATTTAACCAAACATGTTATTGAATATTATGTTTTAAATAAAGTCATCTGTAATGTTTTTACATTTTGAAACGTCATAAAAAAAAAGAAGAGCTGGAATTTTATTACTATGTTTTCCCGTAGTCGTTATAGGCGTTGTATTGGTATTAATATTTTCCACTTCAATGGTATCTAACCAGTACATAGTCTGAGTGGCTAAGTCAGCGAAACCTAGGATTCAGGTATATCAAGTTTCTAAACATGTGACACGTGGAACAAACAACTCCAGGTGTTTAATTTTAGCTTGTGTTTAGATTTAAACGCTTGCGGGCGTTTAGTGTTTATTCTAGAGATATTTACTTATAATAGTATTTATCTGCAGAACAATAAAACTAAGTTGCTTTTTGTAAATACAAAACTATTATGACCATCCTGATATTGCACAAATTCACATATTAAACACGATTTACACAATTACAAAGCAAGCATTAAATACTATAAAAATAACTACAAATAAATATTAAAACATACAGCTGGCCACGTAGTTTACAGGGAGTTCTGTCGAATGATGCCCTGAAAATGAAATAAGCACTGGATTGTTCTAAAAATGTGTTCACTACAGTTTCTTGAAAAGAACTCAACACTTGTGAGTAAACAATTAGATAATTAGTATTCTCATAACATAAACCAAGCTGTAAAAACACACACATTCAACGAAGTTTTAATCTTCACAATCAATAAGTTTTATCTTCGGTCAAAACAATTATTGGTGTAAACGTTTTTGGTTTTTATTTATACATCATCTTAGACAGTCCCCTAGTAACTTTTCAAGCGATTTCTTTAAGAAACAAACGATAAGGTATAAACTACCTCAAAAATATTCCAAGCCCCGTAGATTGTGGTTGGGTTAGTGGGCTGCATTGCCAGCAGAGTTCAGTGACCGCGTTTCTGTTACTAATGGACCACTTAATAGTTAAAGTTCTGGGAATTGTTTTCCATGTTTATAGGGAGGTTGTGTACAGATTTAAATGGCAGGCCATAGGTGTAACAGTTACTTACATGTGTTCTTTGGTGGCGTCGGTATGATGCTGCCATACGATCCCAATCCATGTTTTTTCGCTACGCCAACGTAACTTTGAGTTATCTCGTAGAAATATTCTGACTTTTGTCAGGGATGGTAGTATTCATAAAGTGGGGTACGTTATTGTCATCAACTTCATTCGAGATGGGGGGTATAAATAAGTTAACATATGTACACGTCATTATGCCTTTAGATTGAAGTTACTACAGTTTTATTTTAAGGATATCTCTAATGGTATAATATTTTAATTTTTAGAGAGGTCCGAATTTAGTATTTTTTCACTTGTGTTTTTAAACATAGATTTTCACGTATTTTACCGCTTTTTGTTTAGAAAAGTTTAAAGCATGGAATATATTTGTGATATACGGATAAGTCACAACCGTAATAGCTAGAGTAAATGTGTAACTTACAACATTTATTTAGTAGCTGATGCTATTAAAGTTTAGTGTATCATTTTTTGTTTGTTTGTTTATACTCCCACGCTACATTTGTGTTGACTGCTTTTCCTGGGAGCTGGAGTTCGAACCCCACTTCGAGTGAAATCTTATGTTGTTTTTTATATTTATTTTAAAACAGTAGACCTTATTACAATGCATTATATCTTTCATAGACTAAGATAGGTAAGTATTCAATAAATGATAAAACTGTTGCTCTTTTTATCATTTTTCTTTTTGCTCTTTTTCTAATATCAAAGTCAGAAGGATTAAATGTTGTTGTTTTATGGCAAAGCTCAACAATGGGCTATTGGTGATCTGTTCACCGTGGGGAATACAGGATTTTAGCTATGTAAGTCCGTGAACTTACAGTTCACCCACCAGAGGGAGGACTTGCATAAATGAAATAACACAGTTTATTCAGGGTTTAATCGAAATAAATCAGCTTATTTAATCAGTTTAATCAGCTCATCTATTTAATAAAATAGCTTTATCACAGAAACATCATATGCTATCAAAGCATTTGACTGTACTGTATAAAAAGTATTCGACATTTTTAAACATGGAAAGCAATTATTGCAGTAGTCCTAATAAGTCTCATAAATGGATAAAAATATTAGTTTCCGTATACAGAATATCTAGATATATAAATTACTGTTTTATTAAGTGCCAGCTTTAAATTTCTCTAACACCTCTAAAGTAGTAGAAGTTATATTGCACATTGTTTTTCAAAACATTTCACGTGTTCAAAAACAGCCAACTTAGACTAAAGAGGTCAACCATATAATATCAAAAAGAAGGCCAAGTTTTATAAAAGGGGCAAACCCTCTAAAGATATGTAATGTAGAATTGGGTAAGTTTAAAGAAAAAAATATTGGGGAATACTGATCCCCTTTTTTATGGCAACTGGAACAAGCAAAAACATGGATCGTGTTTGAAATGCTGTATCACAGCAAAGACAATACAATATTTTCCAAAATTTTGCATTCGGTTAAGTGGATATATGCTTCGTTCAGTGTGACTACATACTTCAATTTGTTACATGCTAGATACCACAAGTCTACTGACGTCAGATAGGAAGAGCTCAGAAGAAGTAAAAGTTAGAGTAGCAATAGCCAAAAATCCTTTAATGAGAGGAAAGAAGTGCTAAAACTCGACGATCAAAGAGATTGAGGAAAAGACTGGTAAGTTCACTAGTGTGGATGTAGTTCCTTATCAGCATAAAACGAGTACACAAATAACTAAGATGTAAGGCGCTTGGAGAGTTTTGAAATGTGGATGTGAAGAAAGGAGAGTTTGTTTGGTTGAAGTTAAGCACAAAGCTACACAATGGGCTATCTGTACTCTGCCCACCACGGGTATCGAAACCCGGCTTCTAGCGTTGTAAGTCCGCAGACATACCGATGTGCCACTGGGGGGAGCAGAAAGGAGAGGGTCAGTTGGATAGAAAAAATCACTAAAGAGGTACTTGTAATGGTTGAGGGGAGGAGGAGAAATCATTAGAAAGAAACAAAAGACATGGCTGGGTCACATATTGTGAGGTGTTAGAAGATTGCACGAAAAGAAACAAAAGACATGGCTGGGTCACATATTGTGAGGTGTTAGAAGATTGCACGAAAGGAAAACCACCAAGAGGTAGAAGAACAAAGATATTGCTAGATGACATTAGAAACAATGACGGTTATAAGCGATTCAAGAAAG